ATTCAGGGATCCTTTTGTTGCCTGTATTAGAAAGACAGTGCCTTTCCCCTCACTCCCCTGCACTGAGCCAAACAAAGAGGAAAGAAAGGTAGATGCTATCTGACGCTTGCGCTGATACCAAGGTGATTGCTGAGAACTGCAGAGCCAGTTCTGACTCATAACTGGGGTTTGCGTTCACACTGTTAATAGATTTTTTTATTTTTTTTTGGGGGGGGGGCGGGCAATGGCAAACAAGGACGCTTACTCAGGGAGAAACCAGGGGATCTGCCTCGGCGGGCTGAATCACCCCTTTTTCTGCTTGCAGAAGCCTTCTCAGGGGAACGCTTCTCTGCCGTAAGGGATGAAGTAGTGCTAGAAAGTGCTTCTGGAGGGGGCGAGTCTCAGGTCCCTCCTGGGCTTCTCTTGCCGGGCAGGTCGATGGGTAGCAGGTGGGGCTCCAAGGGGTGGGTAGGGGACGGGGAAGCTGCTCCCAGGGGCATAGTGAGTTACTGCACGATCTCGGAATGAGATTTGCATGTCTGTGTATGATGTAAAACTTCCACAGTTATTTTTAATGCCTGCCTTTTGCTGTGCAGTGAGTTGGGGCTCAGCCATGTCCCTGTGCAGAGATGCAAAACCACTTGTAGCCAGCACCAAGTGGAATAATGTACTGGGAAGGAGCTGAGCAGGGTGAGACCTTTCTCATTTAATGAGGAAACACAGTTGTTCATTTGGTTGGTCTAGAAAAGGAGAGGTGGAGTTACTTGGGTAACACTGTGATGCACATTCAGCACAGCAGCCCTCTGCTTTTAGTTATCCTGTATATAACGTGCCTGCTTCTTGCCTTAGTTGTGAGCGCAGTGGGAGCGTGTTCTGTTTTCTATTTGTTTATTTATTTATCGTCTTGTTTTCAACCTTTGTGAAGCTTGATATAGGTATAGAGCTTCAGAAACGTACGCATAACAGATAACTGTGATTTGGTTACAAGGCAATAATTTAAGTCGACAGGTTTAGCTGATAACATAAAACACAAGAGAGAAATAGGATCAGTTTATAAATGTCAGCGGAACCCCTGCGAGTGAGTTGCTGCCTTGAAGCCGACTCCGGTGCTGTTACTCCATCTAATATATTATAACAAGGAATAAACGGATGTCTGCAAAATTCTGGCTGACCAAGATTAAAAGAATAGGGCTATAAATTAACTTCTTCCTCGGTGTCACTTTAAGCAACTTTCGGGACAGACTGAACACATCCAAGTAAGACGAGTGCTAATGCGCCGGGAAGGCCTCCGGCAGAGCACGTGTTTTCAGGCGGCCGGGGCGCGTGGCAGCGCCCAGGCGCGGCGACGGCTGGTCTGGGGAGCATCCAAGTCAGAAAGTGTTGGTGCTGCAGCTCGTACAGGAGAGCAAAGCCTGTCCCGATGCTTCTGCAGCCGCAGTGGGGGCCAGTAGATAAAGGGATTAAGTCAAGAACAGGAATAACATCGTCATAGTAGTGCATTGCCATAGGATCAGCTTGGAAAATAAACGCTGTCGCTTTGCTGTGACGTTTATTCCCGATGAATACCTTGTCATTCGTGCAGTGGCAAGGGTTTGTTATCCTCTTGAAGTATTTTACCTCTTGGATGCTATCTCTCTGGCTGCGAGGCAAAGGGCTGAGTGATTGAGGGGCAGGCGGGCAGCGCATCCCCAGACCAGACACTGGTCTGTCCCCACCAGACACTGGGTGGTCTGCTTAAACCCCGTGGCCTTCTCCTAGATCCATCAACCCAAGTTCATGCAGTAGTGTGTGTTCAAAGAATTTCAATTTTGGTTTAAAAAATTCCGAATACGAGATATTTTTTAAGTGGTAAAGAATCCAAAGCGGTTGTGGGGGAAGGAGTTTGCCAGCTTTCTCCTCCGACAGCTATAACCTTTTCTGCAGACACAGAGGGGTTTTCGCAGCGATTTCTACTCACTGGGTAGATGATTTGGAGTTGGGAAATTAATTAGAATGGAAACTCTTCTTTCCCTTTGCAAGGAGCGAGGGAGTAGGACAGGATGAGATCTAGCAGCTGTAGGATTTGGAGATCTCTGGGAAGTGAGACCGTTCAGCTTCGTTCAGTAACTCAGATATGCAATGCATACCTCTTTGCATCGACATCTTTTATTTTTCTAAACTGTCAAGGAGAAAAAAGGTCAGAAAATTGCTTAAATATGAACTTGGTTTTATATTTTTTAATTGAGTTTCATTTCCCGAATGCAACTTAATACAAACAATAAGTAAAAACCAAATTCCTCTAGGACAAAAAGCTATCACGAGTGTGATTCTGTATCAACAGCGTGTGAAGCTGTGTAATTGCTTACATATGTATCGCTCCAGAGTGTGCTCCCAGGTGTTGAATAGTATCAAATTATAGGATTCAAAGAGAAGCAACTATTTTTAAGGGAAATGTCTAGAAGCTACGTATTGAAACACGATTAAAATTCAGGATTTCTAGCTTGCTTGTTTAAATCAGCAATTTTAATCACATTATTCAAGTCAATCCACCCTCAAACACAATTTATGAATAATACTTCAAAATACCCCAAACTAAACCAGACTGAAGACCTCATCCTGTCTCAAACATCTGGAATTTTTTAGGTGACTATGCCAATCTTTTTTCTGAAAACAGCGATGTCTGTCTTGCTTTATTTAATAAAGGAGCACGTTTGTCCTGCTGTGGCATGAACCTGTACTGCTGTGCACAGTGGCGAGAAGAAATCCCTGTAGCAATGAAAGCCACTTAAATACATCAGGGCTGAGATTTCTGCTCTGGGGGTTCAGATGGTCTCGGTCAAATCTCATTTAGGAAAGTGCGAAGAATCAGAAGCATGAAAGGTTGTGTCTTCTAGGATGGCAGCCTCCTCAATTTGGTTGCGCTGGGTTTGTGAGCTCGTGTGCGCCAGGGTTCATGTTTTCTTTTATTTACTGCTCACTGGAAGTAGAAGCTGGGAGGACCGGTCACACGGCAGTCGCTCAGCCCTTCTGGAGGCTGCTGCTTTGCCTGCCCTCTTGACGTTTTTTTTGGGCAAAGCCCATCAGCATCATTCCTCTCCCCTGGCAACCAAGTGAACTAATGTGGCCAGATGCACCGGGAGCACGACAGCCACAAGAGACTGTACTCTTCTGACAGGGACATTTTTTGCTGGCTGCATCTGACAATTCGGGAGTTGCTTCAGCGAGTGCTGTGGTTGTGGCCTGGGCTGTCCCAGTGTTTCTGACCCGGAGGGGAAAGCCGCTAGCTTTGGGAGTGGAAGGAGCCAGCTCGCCCCACGATCTCTCCCCTAAGTGCTGTTTGTGCCCGTGGAGGAGGAAGGCATCCTCATGCATCTGTATGTTCAGCATGACATGCCATTTTATAATTTATTTTTTTATCCTTGCTGGCAGACCCCTGCCTCTGTGTCTCCTGAAACAGGGAGAGAAGATGCGGTCTTGTCCTTTTCGTGGAAATCCTACAAACTGCTTTTCAACCGGCATGTCCTGGCTGCGTTGCCTGCGTCGCCTGCGAGGGGGACAGCTCAGCTATCGCAGTGAATCCCTGCAAAGCTCACCTTTTCCAAGCGGGAATGTGCTCCTCTGGGTACACATACAGATTAAAGCTCCCGCGTATTACAAGTCAAGGAGCGGGAGGAGGACTGGGTCCATCGGTGGAAAGTGTGCCAAGTGCGGAGGAGGCAGATGTAGGCTGTCCTTGCATAGTTTAAGATGGGAAGATAATCAGGTCTGTCCCCTCAAATGTCTGACCCACGCAGCTTCTGATGGACAGGATATGGTGGAGAGAAAGAGGAGCTATTGGAAACGCACCCTGTTTTAATAGGAAATCCTCCAAATCCATTTTCATGGATTTTCTAAATGCGTTTATACCTGCTGGATGGCTTTAGACTTTTAAAAGTTTTTGTCAGAACTGTGACAAACATCCCAGTCTTTGTAGGAAGCACCAGGTTCCTTTGATCAGTGAAATGTCTCTTTGGTCCTGAAGACGGAGGGATCAATCCAGTCGTTCCCTAGACTAGAGGATTTTGTCTTTGAGAACATGTATTTATTGTACAAAATAATTATCCTTGTCTTGGTTTCCGTTTGGTAGGAGATGCTGCCTGTCTCCTACGTGCTGTGGTATTTTATTCTAGGCATCTTTTTAGGTGAAAGGAAACAGGTAAAGGAAAGGCTGAACAGGGAAACCTCATTGAGAGAGAGGAGCATGGGCAGCTGTCTGTCTGTCTGTCCATCTGTTCGTTCAGGTGCAACCTCGCTCTCCTAAGCAGGCAGATCTCTAGCATTAAAAGAAGAGGAAGCGACATCAGGAAGAAGTAACCAAATATTGCCACCTCTCCATCCCAGTGCAGCGGCTGGCCATCGCCACACGTTTGTGGTGAACTGTGACCGAGAAAAAACACTCTGAATGTCCCATCTTTTCTGCATTTAAAACCAGAGCTTAATGCATTCTGTGTAGTTTTTTTTGGGCAGATAGTAGTGATCATATATTCCTTTTAATAGAATATTTCCAAACCAACGCAGCCTCGCCTCTGTGCACTTGATATTCAGCGTACCTGGCTGTACTCAGCGGTATGCTTTGATTCCACTTTGGCAGCTGTATTTTATGCTGCCTACCCCAATCAGCAACCAATCCCCCTTTCTCCAAATAGTCTCCAAATCTGCTCCTGATGCGGAGTTTTAGTGGTCTCTTAGGAATTGGCCCGGGAGGGAGGAGGGAGCCGGTGCTCTGCTCTGCTCAGGGTCCCTCCTCCCCTGCACGTCGAGCCAGCGAGGCTGCACGGGGACGCGTTGGGTGGGTCAGGGTGGCATTTCTGCGAGGTTAGAACAGCGCTTGTGTCTGAGGGGTGTTGATGGAGGGGAGGGTGGGCAGCGGCGGGTAGCCTGCTCCTGTCCACCCTGCGGGATGAGGCTTGTCGCGGGCAGGAGTGTGCACCTTCAGCTCGCCCTTCCCTGCGCAAAGCTGAAATAATGCACGTGCCCTAAAACAGCCCGGCCTTTGTTTGTAGGTCAAGCCGTTCCTGCAGGGTCACACGTACGATTAAATCTGCAGACGGGACATCGAGAAGCCAAGCTCCCAGACAGCGAAAGTGGAGAAAGTGCTGCAAGAGAAGAGAGAAGAAGAAAAAGGTAGAGTGATGCAAAGCATCAGGGGTGGGTGGGCAGCAGGATTCGTGTCTTTCACTAGAGGCCAGGTTCCCTGGTGCACTCAGTTACTCTCAGTAAGTCTCTTCTGGAGACTGAATTGCTGGTGTAAGGGCTCAGCGGTGAAAACGGAGCCCCGTCCTTTGCGATCCCTTCGGGATGGCGGTGGAAGTGCCCTGAGTGTGTCTGCACAGACACCTTTGTGGCTTCTCATGCCACGACATCGAAACTAAATTTGCAGTGTGGCTGAATGATGTTCAGTCCTTGGAAACATCTGCAGCAATCGGTATGAAACTTTCAGAGCTTAAACCATCGGAGCAGCTGTGAGGGACTGTGTTTGTGTTGACCTGAGCCAGGTACCTGTTTCTAACTCTGTACAGTCAGCAGGCTTGCAGCGTTCATTTACACATCAGGTATTGCCAAAGTTCTCCTTAGATCACATAGCTTTCCCTGTAGCCATGTTTTTAAATGTGTTTTAAAAGTTTCACAGGTGCTGATGTTCCCCTTGGCACCCTCCTAACAAAGACAGTTGCTGTGGGGCACTTTCCTTCCTAAAGCGCGTGGGATTTACCACTGCTTCCCTTGCTCCCCCCGTCACTCCTGTTCAGAGCATGGAGAGTCTCTTTAGCTTCTTGATCCCTCAACAGCTGGCTTTCCTTTTTCCTGTGCAAGTGTTTGTGGCCCAGATAAACACTCTCTGAACCGAGGAGATAGGCGTAAAGAGCAACACAATGTGTGTTTTAGCATTTCTCTGTAGTTTCTGCTTGGATTTACCCTTGCCCTAACTTGATTTGTCACAGTCATCAGAACTTCAGCTGTAAATCTCTGTGTTCAAGCTTGCAAGTCCTTAGCAGTGATTTAGTGGCACAGCGGTGCTTTTTTGTTTTTCTTCTGAAACATTTCCTGCTCTTCTGTACAGCAACAGGAAATTCAGAGGCGTATATTAATCAGCTATTTGTATTGTGCTAGGACTTGAGATTTTGGGTTGGCGTGCATATTAAGGAGCCTTTTTTGACTGTGAGGGTGTGAGGTGTCTGCAAGCCACACAAAATACAGCGCTAGGACTGATCTTTTCTTGCGTGTGGAGGTTTTTTGTGTGTTTTAAGTGAGATGCACGGAAATCTAGCACTGTTAGTTCCTTTCCTCCTGACGTTATCTATTGCTAGTATGTCACCATGAAAGCATTACAGATGCAATTGTTCACTCCAAACATGTTTTGTTTCCTCTGCAAGGCTGGGCAAGGTGGATGTTGACGCAAATTCCTTCACATCCCAGGAGCTCAAAAAGGCGTTGGCTAAAATGAAGGAAAGCGAGAAGGCAGAAAGAAAGGTAAGGAGCATTCCCTGTTTCTGAAGCGATGCACGGTACGCGGATGCGAGCACCCGAAGTTACGTGTCTCAGAAATATGATTGTTAAAGTAATTGCTTGGGAAAATACTGTGCAGGCTAATCTTCTGGAGAATATGGACCTAAAATACCTTTGCTAGCCAGTTAGTGATATAGTTCCCTGGGAAACTCTCACCGCTTTTTATACTAATCCTGGGTTTTCTGTGAAAATGGAAAACTTTTGTTCAGGTCCATTTAGTTCATTTCAAACTTAAGGGCCTCGCATTGCAAGCTGCTTATAAGTACTTAAGTATATTCTCACAATTCAGGGTATTTCTCGGCAGTAATTGTCCCGTGGGCTGTCTGGGGAGAGGGCCTGCAGTGATGGAGTGGCCTGGATCAGGAGTTTAGCAATAGACCAGCCATCAGGCTCTGCTGCTTTCTGCTCTTTGCTCAAGTGAGTGGGATCTCAGCTAGCATACCAGGTACGCGGTATCCACATAGCTGTCCTCGTGAGCCAGCCAGACACCGAAGTTCTTACTGCTGTTCTTGGTGTACCAAAGCTGAAGTGAAGCGATGGGACCCTTCCTGAACCCAAAGCAGGTGTGGTCAGTAAGCTCTCCGGTGTGATGCTGCTCCCTTAATTTTTCTGATACCAATGTGATTAGACCTGAATTAATAATGCAGAAAAGTTACTTGAAAACACTTGCATGAACCCAAAGGCTGACTTCCTTTCCCTTGTTTGGATGGTATTTTTATCCATTGTTTTGATTTATTTGTTCAGCTGCCGCTTGGTTCACAAAAATGTCTGCAGACCCCCACAGTGGAATGGATTGCAGTGTGACAGTATTTGTAAAAGAAGTTACTTTGCTGTTCACTATCTTCCTGAGTGTGAGGAAGTACAAAAAGTGTTGTGCAGCTGAGGTGCTTCTGTTCTGGACTCAGTGATGGTGCCAAGCCAATGGACATAACATCCTCTGCCACTGGCACAGCTGGATCCAGAAGCAATCTCGAGATTAGAAACTTAAACCACGTGCCTTGGATAGTAAAAAAGAAGTGACTGTGGTGAAGCAGAGGCTGAAGTTTCCTCATATAAGCTCTAAGTTTCCCATTTAGTTACAAATAGTCCACAATCCAAAGTAAAATAGAGTGCTAGTGCTGCTGTCAGCCCTCTCCAGGCTTGGAGCTGGTCCCCAGCCACGGACATGACTCTGGTGGGATAAAAGGCGTCTCATAAGGTGGATCACAGCCTTCTTCCCCTCTTCCACTCAGCAGTATTTCCTTTGGCCCTAGCTCCTCCTGCTGCCTTGACGTTGTCTCAGTTTGAAGAAAACTGAGGTAGGAGTCAAGGCTCTAAAGTCTTGGAGTCGCAGAAAGTCTGTTTTTCCTGTTTTTCCTCTGTCTGGCACCAGGGCATTATTTCATTTTCTGTGAGATTATTCGTGTAGCAGCCAGCATTACTGATAGCAGGACTTCTTGAAATGAGTGTCGTTTAAATGCAAAAATTAGTGATACTCTATTATATGAAAATAAGCCATGTTTTAAAAAACCCTGGTAGAATAGCTATTGTCCCAGCAACCAGGCTAAAATCAGCTACATCTAATGGACATAAAGTACTCCATTTAAAATCACTCCTGCAGGGAGCAAATTCATCCTTGAAGTAACTGTGTCAGAGTAAATTGAGTTACACCAAGCGTGTTCCCATGTATGCTCTTGCAAAAGCAATTCTGTGCAGTTGGTGTGGGGATGGCGTTCTGTGTTGCTATGTGGTACCTACAGTAATTAGGCTGGTAGTCATTATTAGTGCTGATTGTACAGCTGCCATTAGCTTGACAGTTCTTTACTTCCATCAGTTGTTTTTTTTTCTCCAATGGCTCGAGCCCTCGGCTTCTGTTCACACGTCAGGGAACACTGCATGGGCAAACCCTCTGGGTGAGGGTCACTCCCGTATAAAAACATGTTTTGGTATTTTTGTTTGTGGCAGAATCCTATTCCAAAGGGGCTTTCTTGCTTTCTCCTGCTCCTGGGGCAGCCTGTCTTCAGTCTGGCCTCTCTGCTTCCTCCATCCCCTGCAGCAGCAGGCTTTGTCCCCGCCTGCTCCAGTGTCACCAGTGCTGATGCTGGGGAATTGGTCCCTGCTGGCTCTGGGGCTCCCTTGGATCTCTGGCAGACCCTTTTCCTTCTCACCACACGCCTTTCCGCAGCTCTTGGTTCACCGCAGCCCTTGGGGTGCTGGTTGCACAGGGAAGGCCAGCCGTGCTGCAGGGCGAGCTGTCTCCTGGCTGAGCCCCATGGCACGGCACTCCAGCTGCCCCCATCTTGCGGCCAGTCCTCCTGCTTTGCTTTCTGACAGCTTCTGTCCCCGACAGTGAGTGCATACATTTCCCTGACAAAACCATCATGAAACATGAGAAGTGATTGGGATGATGAAAATGTCTCCGTATGCATCTGAGGAGACCTCCTTGATGTCACTGGCATGGAGTCACTGGGCAGTTCAGGCTGGACAGGACCTCTGGATGTCTCCAGCCACATCTCCAGCTCCAAGCAGGGTCAGCAGTGAGATCAGGGAGGTTGCTTAGCGCTTTCTGCAGTTGGATCTTGAGAACGTCCACTTGCAGGCAAACGGAGACCAGCAGTGCTGCCTGCCTCTGGGCTTGGCGTTGCTTGGAAAGGCATGGAGGACACAGAAATGGTGCACCAAGGCCTGGGTACAGGTGTGGGGTGCTGCTACGCAAGGCTGGTGTCTTACAGATAACTGGGTTCCTGGGCTTCTCTGAAGGACCCTCCAGTGCTGCCCTGAATCTCTGATGCACAGCAGTAAATCCGTTCGCACAGACAGCCAGGTTCCCTTTGTAAATTTGAGGCTGGGGTTTCATTTTACGTCCTTCTTGTCTCTCTTTATCGCCTGCCTTCATACCTGGTTTCCTCCTTGTGCTTTCAAGGCCCACGAAGAAGGGGTGAGGAAGAAGTTCCGGCCCATAGAGCAGCTGAAGGAGGAGTTTGAAAAGCTGAACATGAAGATGGAAACAGATTATGAAATTATGGTTAAATTAATCAGCAAATTCAACAGCTCTGCCTCCACGCTGGATGAAAAAGTAGCGGCGCTTTATGATCTTGAATATTATGTTCACCAGGTAACAAAAATGCATTAGTAACTACCATGTAAAATCCAGGGGATACAGTGTCATAAATGTGGGTTTATTTTTCTTATCGGTATCAGGTAATACAAATTGCTTAATTATCATAATCCTGGCACAATAACAGACAGTGGAGGACTACTGCAGGCTTATTTTATATCCAAGTTTGAATAAATCACCGCGTGTACCAGTAGTGAGCGGTTTCCTGGGGTTAGTGTTGCCTGATTTGTTGTCTATTCTCTGGCTTTTTTTCTTGCCCTTTCTATTTCTTCTTTTCTATGCTAAATGTTACAAAATGGGGTTTTATCTGCCATTTCTGGTGAAGTATAGTGATGGCTGCTAAAAAAATAATGATTTTCTCGCTGCTTCTGTGGAAAGCGTCTGTGGTTGCAGGTAGGTCCCCTTACACCAGTTCACAGAGAATGTCTGCGTACCAGGCAAGACAACAGCCACCCCAAAACTAATATTTTGTCTCGGTGTGAGTAAGAAACAGCATGTAAAGCCTCTCTCACAGCTGGGCCAGTGGCAGAAATGACTGGAGAGGCTCAGGCGAATGGCAAGTTGCTGGGCATCAGCTGAGCCCTGCTCATCAGCTCTGTTTGGGATTGAATCTGTTTCCTGAAATCTGGCTTCCTCAGGTTTTTGCTCACACTTTTCCCCTTCCTCTGATCTCTCTTGCTCTGCTTTCAGCTCTCGCATTTTTACCTCCTGCTGGCTGTGTGCTCCGGGCACGTTGCTCCCCTCCTTTGTGCTTGGTGCCTTCCCACGCTGCAGCAGCTTGGGTGGGTGTCAGGCACCGAGGCTCTGTGCTGCCTCGTGGGAAAGGACGGGGCTTCTTCCTCCCCGGAGATGGAGAGAGTCTGGAGCGGACTGGGAGACTTTCCGGTGTCACTCTTAGTGACTTCATCATTTCAGAGAGGGAATGGGACAACGCTTGGGAGATGCCAGTGCAGGACCTTTCACTGCAATGGCACTTCTTAAAACCAAACGTGGTGTTCTGGGGGAAGGTACCTGAAGGAATGTGCTGCGGAGAGAGGGAGTCCGTGCACCAGCTAATAGAAGTGTTATTTCCAGGGCTCTTTGTCTTGAATTTCCACACTAAATTTCTGTCATACGCATGCAGAGGCTTCCTTGCTGTTTGTTCTCTGTGCTTTTTGTTTCACTGATGGCATCTGTCTGACTCGGAGAATAAGAGTGAACAATAGGCGCCTGAAGAGCTTCATATTTATACTCAGGGCTAATTCTGTCTGGTTAAGGGTGCCAGAGCATCAGGCCAGCATGCTAAAAAGCAACCCCCAAACACCCTGGGATGCTCTGGATTCCAGCATAACGGTCCGTACTATTCCAGCGTAAAATCCCACCTGCTTGCAGCATGGGATGGGGCAAACGATTTCAGAAAGGCGAGGGGAGCAGGGGAGCGGTCCCCGCTCCCTGTGCGGGGACTGGAGCATCAAAGGGAACCACATCCAGCATCAAAGGGGTCAGAAAGGGGGAAACGGCAGGGAGGCTGGTGGGGAGCACAGAGGACTCCTTTGTGCATCGATCACAACGTTGCTCTGTGCCCGCACTGTCGGGGCAGATGGCTGGGCAGCACCTTCTCATCAGGCAGGAAGCTGATAAGAAATATGACTTGTCTCTAAGCCAGCGTGGCTTTTCCTCCTCTTTCTTCTTCCAGCCAGCTGAATGCGTCCAGAGCATTATCTCTGCTTGGTACTGACTTTAACAGCGCTGGCTTAATGTAATTACTGAACAGCAGCCAAATACGCTTGTGCTGCATAACCCTGGAAGGGCTGAACTTGCCAGGAGCCCTCTGCGGCAAGCCACGGCTGTGCCCCTGGAGGATGGGGATCCTTGCAGGTGTGGGTGCCCAGGGCAGTGCGCACCCACGTATGGGACCGGTGACGGCTCTGCTGCTCCCTCTTCCCCAGCTTCCATCTCAGCGGTAACGTGCCACGGCTTTTGGTAATCGTTTGGCTCCCGGCTGTCCTGCTGCTGCCTCCGGGGCACAGAATGCCCTCTTGAGTGGAAAATGCCATGCCCTGCAGGGTCTGCAAGCAAAGGATGCTCTCGGCTCTGTGGTGTGGTGGTGAGCATCCCGGAGTGTGAAGCAGCACGTGCCTCCGAGCTCGCTGCGAGGGAGCGGAGGGGAAGCCGGGGCTGGTGCCGAGCCGAGGAGAGATGCTCTCTCCTGCTCTTGAAGAGTCAGCCCAAGGGCTCTGTTTTTGCTCAGCTTTTGGTTGCCAGCTCTGGTTTGCTTCTCATCAGTCAGGATTCAACTTGGCATGTTTGGGAGCCCATCTTGGAGAAAGAGCAGGAAGGTTTGGCTTGCTAGGTTATCTGTAATGCATAAAAACCAAATGCAAATGTGAAGAGGCCAGAGCATAACTCATTTATAAACAGAATTCACGGTGCTTGCACAGCAGTGTGCGGAGCCAAGACCCGTTTCCATGCGTTGCAGGCTCTTTCTCTCAATTATTTACTCTTCTTATCTTTCTCTCTCCCCTCCTCTGACATGCTACACCATTTCTCACTGCTAATTTCCTCTCTGTTGTCTGTGGTTGACGTGCTGCTTTTCCTTGCTCTCGTTTCCTAACATTTTCTCTCTCGCCTTCCCTCCCCGTTTTCTTTCTCCTCTGATTCAAAGCCGTTTCCTGAGTAGCTGCTGTCATATTTGCTCTTCTCCCATCCCTCTCCTCGCCCACCTTGCCTGTGTACTTTACTCAAGAGCTCTTTTGATCTTTGGCTTTCTTCTGTGCTGATTTCAGTGGACTGAAGCGAGGCATGAGCTGCTGCCTCGCAGCATCCTCCGCTCCCCAGAGAGGTTAATACCTTCAAGTTGTTGAGTTTGGAGGTTTTGTTGGTTTTAAAATGGTGAGTGAGGGAAGGAGCTCTCACAACAGACTCCCGTTAAAAAAGATAAATACATCTTCAAAATAAGCTTTACAGCACAATTTATATTCTGTGGCTGAGGTGTCTCGCTGACGCTGGGGCTGGCCTGAAGGACTCCGGTGCTGCGGAGGTTACAATGACGATTGGTTTTGCCACGAATGATACTGGAAGCAAACTGCTGCCTGTCTGTGCATTCCCTCTTGAGCAGAAGTCGACGTCCAATTCCAGCGTTAAAACAGCCTCAGAGTTTTTACAGATTCTGAGCAATAAAAGGACCCACTGATAGCTGAAATTGGGTTGCTGCATAGATTTCTTTGTAGACAAAGATGGGCCTGCAGAAAAGTGAGAGGTCTGGCAGGTCCAGTCTATAGGGACAGTTGAAAGAACAGGATCTGAACGGATACAAAAGCTGCTGCAAATCCTGAATCAGCCCCAGCAGACCTGCGGAGATCGGCTTTCTGTCACCGGCTTTGCAGAGGGACAGCAAGTGGTGGGTATTGTCCTGTTGGGGAGAAGAGACGAGCTGTAGCTCCCCAGGTCCTGCTTTGGTAAGGACATACCCATAGGACATAAAGCCTAAGTAGCTTCTTCATTCTCTTGGGTACCTAAAATATCTTAATTTATGGCCAATTTTGGTGAAGGTAGACAGTTGAGATAAATATAACACTAAGCATGACGTCACTGTCGACTAAAGGAGCGTTCAAGCTGGAGCGTGGTGCCTGAGCCCGACATACCCTGCACGCCTTGTGGTGTTTGTCCTGTCCCACTGTGTTGGTCCTCGCTGAAGCTGCGGAGGTCGATTTGCCCACCTGATCGCTCCTTTTTATGCTCTGTTTCCATCCGCCAACGTATGCTGTTGTCTGCCTGTCTTTCAGGGAGGAGAAATGTTGAAATTCTAAACCTAGTTTTCTGCACATGCAATTCTGAGCGTTCATGAGATTCCCTTTTAAACTAAAACCAAAAAAAAAAATCATTGAAAACCAAAATCAAAACGCATGCATTTGGCTTTGGACCGAATTTTGTGCTTGAAGCACTGTGCACTGTTTCTCTAAATTTTGTTTGTGAGCCACTTGGAGCCCTTTTCTAATCTCTCCACGAACCGATGCCCACTGTGATTTGTGCCTGGTCAGCCCCAAGCTGTCTCCTTTAAAAAAATCAGTGCTTGGGCTGCCCCGAGGGGAAGCTCCTGGCTGACCCTTCCAGGCAGGGGCTGGCTTTTTCTTTTCACGTCTGCGTGAAGTTCCTGGCGGTACTTGTGGAAAACGCCCAGAACCACCCATGCTCCTCACTGTGAGCAGAGGTGATGCTGCCAGGGTACCGTGGCTGCTGACAGGCTCTTAAACATCCCTAACTCCTGGTGCTACAGTTAAAGCATCGATTGTTTAATTGCATTTGCAAAATGTACAATTCCCTGGGTTCCCAGTAAAGGCCTGTGCAGGTGAGAGGGCAAAGAACTGGGGTTTTTTTTGACATCATCAAATTTACTGAATTGTTGACATCACCTGAATTGCTGAAACACGTCAAGAATAGTTTTGATAGCTAATCAATGCGTTTGAATTTTCAGCCATGCCTTAGCGTGTGGTAATAGCCACCTGTCAGTACACTGTGCTTTTGCAACCTTGATATCTGCTGCTCGCAGGCAGCGTTGTGCGAAATTCGAGCCTCAGTCGTTCCCTCTTAATTTTTAGTTGCTTTTAAAGCTCAGCGCTGGTTAGACTGGGAGGGAAGAGATGCTGTGCTTTCTGAAGCAAGGCATGAGTGGAGTCTGGCTGGGGTTTTCGTACTGACGGGGACCTGCTCTCTCCCAGGTGGACAACGCTAAGGACTTCCTCTCCATGGGTGGACTCCAGCTGGTGATCGACGGGCTGAACAGCACCGAGGCCGCGCTGAAGGAGCATGCTGCCTTCGTCCTGGGAGCCGCGCTCTCCAGGTGAGCTCCCTCCCACCCAGCCTGGGAGGGTGAAAACCTCGGGGACCACATGGGCTCTGTGCTTCTCTTCATCTCGCTTGATTTATTTCTAATAGCAGGAGCTGAAAGGTGCTCTCATCCTGCCATGCACCAAATTGTCTTCTCCTCTGCGTAGCCCTTTCCTTTCAGCATCACTTACCCTGGTCGTCTTGTCAGTGTGTCCTCATCCTGCTCATTAGACTTAGCCAGAAGTAATTTGGTGTGGAAGTTATGATTGTTTCTTGGTTTCCCTGGCTCCTTGTTTTCACAAAGTTCGAGGGGAATAATTCTGCCTCCCCTCCTCTGCCCTTGGCAGCCCCCTCTGGGGGAAGATCTGGAAGATGGTGCAGTTACGAGCACCCCAGGGAGCTCTTTTCTCCCTCCTATTCCTTTCTCCTAGGCTGCTTCAGGATGGAGAGCTGCTGATTTCAGAAATGTAGCAACTCCCGTGGTCTTTGGAGGCGGGGTTTTAGCCCCATGGACACGTGCCGCTGACACCAAAGGGGTGTCGATTAGACATGGGGTTAGGAACGGGGTCAGCAGGCTGAATTGAGACGAGACTGGCCTGAAGGGTGTTTGTGCTCATTGGAAAGTCGCTGTTGCCCGAAGGAGCCCAGTCGGCCTTGTGCTAGGACGTAGCGTGTGGTGCTGCAGGTGGTACCGTGTGGGCTCGATGGATTTTATTGGTGCCCTTTTTGGTTTATGGGTTTTGAAGCTTCGCTGGGTGTGTGTTGTGCATTCACAGCCGCAGAGGCTTTAGAAATGCATTGGATAGACCCAGATTTCGAGATCAGAAGTGCAGAGTGAAGGCTGAAAGTCAGGACTGTTATATCTACATATTTCTCTGCCTAAAAATATGGTCACCTTCTCCACCATTATAAATTATTTATCATTTAATCTAATATATAGTCTACAAATCTGCATTTCTTTTGCAATCTTGTATACGACACAGTTGATCCTCAGCATGTGTGCAGTAACATGGCCTCATGGACAGCAGCAGGTACCCAGATTTACACCAGGAAAGGATCCAGCTTATAGTCTGAAACAGAGTTTGACTTACTGATCGCAGTAAGATACGGTATTTCACATCAGAAACACAGACCTGCTCTTCATATTCTGGCATATCTTAGTGTTTGAAACAATATTGTAATTGTTTTCTTAGGTTCTTTAATAGTGTGTAGACTCAGAAGTAAATGTTTCATAAAGAGAAAATCATGCAGAGTCTCTGGAAACATTTACAGGTAACTTGCAAAATGACAGGGGCTGTTAAGTCGCTTCTTTCCTGATTTAGCTGACATGACATGATGAAGACTCAAGAAATTCATTGTCTCCTGATATGAGCGTGTAGCAGTGGCCTTGAAACTAATGCTTTCGTGTAGTATCCCTCACTTAATTGCAAATGCCTGTATTTGGACAGAAACAATCTCTTTTCTAATATGACAATATTAAAAATACTGCTTTGGAAACTTTTAGACCTTTTTTCCTTAAAGGACATTCTGACAGATGGTGATTTTGAATGGTTTGGATGATGTATTGTCTGGGAGCTCAGTTCCAAATTGTGAGGAACATTATGCCTAGTTTTTGAGTTTGCTTTTTTCCCCTTGCTGTGCTTAAGCTTTCTCAATAGACACCTACATGCCAACTCATCTGCTTTGTGCTATCTGCTTAATTTGTTTGTTCATACATTTTCCCAGCTTACTCTGTGCTCCGTTTAAACTGCCGGGGGCATTTTGAGTACTTCACGCTAAGGACTTTCTTATGTCTTGTGTTTTTCTAGGGGTTTGTTGTTTATTTCCTTCACTCGTCGTTGTTCATAGGGGCCTCAGTTAGGTGGGGGACTTTCCAGTAAATGCCCAGAGGTGCCCCAGCTCACTGGGCTGCAGGGGCATGGTTTGATCCACGCTTGTGTGCCTGGGGCTGGTATTGGATCCTGTGTTGGATGCTGAGTCGTGCCTGGGCGAGAAGCAATGGTCTGCTGCTCACCAAATGGGTCTGTGGCCACCTCCCAGGTCTCTTCAGCCAGGTTGAATCCAGCCAGCAGTTTCAAGCCAAGCAGACCTTCCCGGAGGAGAATCGGGGCATGACCGTAGCAGCTCCTCAGCCCAGCCCTGGAGGTCATTAACTCCTGGCGTAGCTGAAGCTGGAAAAGGGAGTTTGGCATTGTCTGTAAGGCAAGTTTTTTTACGCAGGAGAAAACCACTGGACACTAAGCAGTCTCAGACATGCTTGGGTCACATCCGGAAATTTCCAGCTCTTAAAAATACCTACGTCTTCTGCAGATTTGTGTTGTCCTTAACTCTGATCAGGTAGTGAAGCAGGTAAGGGACAGAACAACCAGCTGCATCACCCAGGTCTTGCCTGCACGAAGTCCAGCTGGGACCTGGCTCAGAGGTCTGGCTGTGCTGAAAACCGATTTGGGATAAAAGGGTTTTCAAGTGGCTCAGCGTCTTGAGGCAAGGGGCCAGGAGCTGGCCAAGACCTTGCATCAGCGAAGGCACAGCAGGGGCAGCTCAGGATTTCTCCCTTCTGATATTGTTCCTATTTATTTGGCTTAAACTGGACTTGAAAAGCATCCTTAGCACAGCAGAGTTTGGTCCTCAAGGCAAAGGGTCACAGGGTCTAGCTGCCAGGGTGCTGCCTGCATGGACACTTGTCCTCCCAGCATCCATTTACCGCTGTCTGTGAGCCTCTGCCATGGGAGAGGCAGAATGAGGAGGAAGTCAAGATCTGGTAAGGAGGAAATCAAGATTTCATCTCTTGTTTCTCTTATATGTCCTTCATTTTAGGCATTCGGGCTTTAATCGCCGAGTCTGTGACCAAATCAAGCATCGTTCCATCTGGTAGAGTTTTCTGAGCGGTGCCCTTATTGCAACTCTGCAACCTCATCACAGTCTTAGTGTTTTTAAACCTTTAACAAAATGTTTTCCATTCAGCAGTTTGCAAAAGTAAACTTCATTTGAACAATCCCCAAGTGCTCTGATTGCAAATAAAAGTTAAATGTACTAACAAAAATAATTGCTAGGCATGTGGGATTGTACATTTAGGTATCCATAATTCACTAACAGTATATGCCAATACACAACATTATCTGGATTTTCAGTGATTGCATTAGCATAAAAGCATGTTAGCATTTATCCGGTGGTACTAACATTTAAATATATATAAGTATGAAATATTAAGATACAGCATTTTGGAGGCAAGTAAAACTACTGTCTGTAAAATGTTCTTGCATATTTTTGAAGGTACACTCTAGTAATCTTCATATGACAATCAACATTCGCACCATTGGGTCCAAACATTGCAAAAATGTCAATGTTTTATGCAAAGAGGAGCTATATTAGGCTAAAAAAGATTGCTGATGAGAGAAGTGTCTTCTGATGTCCTCTAAGCTATTTACAGCAGCATCTTCCTTTGTTCGTAGCGCAGCCGGGCCTCTGCACAATTTGTATCTAGATGTTTCACAAGACTGGAAATGTTAGCCAGAAAGGATTATGCTTGTGATTAAAACCTTAATTTTTAAAAACTTTACCTCCAGGAAATGTTTTTCCACACCAATAATTTGAACATTTTAATATTTTGTAATAAAAGGATTTTTGTAATCCGTTTAAAAGGGGAGTAATAATTTATGTCGAATGCATTCTTGAAGCTTTGTCCCAAATGCTCCCCATACGCTCAGCGGTGAATTAGAGGTGAGGACGGAGAGAAGCTAAGCCATGGGACATTCAAGGCAAAGAGACGCACTTTGCATTTCATGGGAAGAGGGCAGAAAGCTCAAAAAGTGAGATTTTTGGCGCGGATGAAGTGGGGAGCCAGGAGGAGAGTTGCTTGTGCAGTTGCACTTAGAGATTTGTGGCATTTTGGCCAGTCTGTTAAAAACGCGAGTGCTGTTCAAACCGAGTGGCTGGGGACAGGACCTCAGAGCGATGGTCCAAGGTTGTGTTTGCCATATGTCCTAGCAGGGCACAAGGCAGTCCCCAGCACAGCCTCCTCCAACCAGCCCAGCGCTGCTGGGATCTCGCTGTTCCCTTTTGGCCCTGAGTGATAAAATAAATGCCACGGGACTTGGTAAAGACTTGGGAGTAAACTCATCACAGGCAATAACTGAAGCATCATCTTGCAGCAGCACTCGAGTTTCCTAGAGATGGCTCATGTCAGGGTGTTGCTTGTCTTAACGATATTCTGTGAGATTAAACCCCTCAAACTATGACAACGTGCATCATGAACATCCCAGCCACTGTTATTCATGCTACCCAGCTCTGAGGCTGGTTGAGAACTTGCATCATTTTGGCAGAGGGAGGCACAAAACGTGTATCTGCTTTTCAAGATGAGCCTAAAAGAGCCGAGAGCGATGGGCTCCGTCGCTGCTCTGTGCCGTGCTGTCCCGGGGTGTCCGCGTAGTGCTCAGCATCGTGATGTCTGGCTGCTTGCGGTTCTGCGCCCTCATCGTCTTTCTGTGGGCGGAGGGATGGGGGAGGGCTGCCTCCCCGTCGCTGCTCTGTCCGTCAGTATTCCGGTGGTGTCCATTCTCCTAGGGGCCGCGGCTTCCATGCTTTGTCAGAGAAGCACCAGCTTCTTCAGGATGCCTTTGTCAAGAGGAGAAAGCTGCCACCAGATTTAACGATTTTGAATTAAGTCCAGCTTCGCAATGAAACTGGTTGATGCTCACTGCTGTTAAATAACATTAAGGCCCAAGCAATAAACCTAGGAAAAGTAAACTTAAAGACCTTGCTTTGATGCTGTCTTGTAAGGACATAAGAATTTCTGGGCAGAGAAATAAATCTAGTTAGCTTAACAAGCACTGTCCCTACCCATTTATTTCAAATCCATCTTCATGTTTGTCCCTTCCTCCTCCAGCTTCTCCTTTTACGTCCTACAATCTCTGCCCATCTCTCTATCCGTTTTCACTGCTTTTTTTCAGTGGCCCTGTTTGCCAACGCCGTGTGTTTGCCTCCTCCCAGTTGCAGTAATTCCAGCTCGACTCC